ATAAAATTTCTGTGCTTTGTCTATAGTACCTAAAACCTCAGAGCATAATTTTTCAATATGAAAGTAATATATAATAGTAATATATCTTACTCTGTAAGCTCCTTGCGAATATAAATAAACTCACCACAAAAATTGCAGCAAAGGCACACGGTATTTTCCACAAAAATCCACAAATTTCACGTGTTCAACGCATGCTTCAAAGTAGACTCCTTTACATTTGGGGTTGACGCACTGATTAGCCGAGTTCAGATATGATATCAATTCCCTAAAATGTCCAAGATCAAGAGTCAAAAAGGATTGAAGAAGATTTTTTGAGATACCTTGAACTAAAAACATCAAGGACAATTAACGTCATAAACAATCAGGTCAGGAAGTTAATTTGAAACAAAGAACGCCCAGAAATCAGTTACATCATATATTTACCTTGGAAGAATTGCTTTTAGTGGCAGCCGGGACATCTTCAATCGTACTACTCGGCCAGCTAATTCCTTCAGCTTTGGAGGTTCGAGCTGCATGTTGTGTACGAATTGATGGACTGAAAAAGCTATTGACTAATTGTAGTTGTAGAATTGCGAAAAGAGAATTGGGATAACTTTAGAAAAAACCGGTTAGAATTGGAGCTAAAGAAGGTGCACTTGCATAGAATAGTGGGTTGTGGTGAAAAAAAAAAGAAATTATATACTAAAAAAGAAAGGGTCTGCATATTTCTGCTAACGGTGGATGACAAACTACTATGCCATAAAATAATCAAAATTTCAATATAGCTAAAATTTATATGTTTTTCAATATGTGCTCCACGCAGTTTTTCAAGAGCAATGGAGAATATGCTGTAGTGGTTTAATTCATCCAAAAATTATCGAAATATTCCGGAAGACATACCTAAAGGATTGTTTCGAAGGCTGAGCTGCTGCAAATTTCTCAACTTGACGATTTCGGTTGGGAGAGTCTGAAAGAATTGAGCTGATGTTCCCTTCTTGAGGATTCAAAGCGAACTTCCTACCTTGAGCACATTATTATGCAAAGATAAGCTCTCCAGATTTCTGAGCTCTCCAAAAGTTGAGGGAATTGTTTCCAGCTGGTTATCGCAAAGCGACAGAGAAGATAATCGTTGAAGCCGGCCTATTGTCGCTGGCAC